GATGTACTCTATCCAACCATCGTGGATGTGACTGTTAATTTATCATAGCGCCCTCTATAAGTTTGATAGCGTCATGCATAATCAACACAGGCACACAAAGAACACTTGACAAATAAAAAGGCCGTTTTGTAGCTGATAATTTTCCAAATCTCCGTCGAGATCCTCCTCCCCCTCCTTCACAAAATGACAGAACGAAAGCAAAGGGATGAATTATGAATTTGCTGCAATATTTTCAATTTGTTTTGGCAAGCTGCAATTTTTTTAATTAAAAAAATGTCTTGAGGACTGTAAAAATTACACTAATTCTCAGGATTTTCCCCACGAAAACTATGCCCTTTTAGCATCCCCCAATCGCCAATATAGGAGAAATAAACATCTGCCACCTCTCCCTCCCCAGTCCAGTCTAACCCTATTATCAATCAAGACTTCAATTTAGCAAATTTCTGTCCACTTTATTATTGCTCCATTCAATTTAAACATCCGTCACAGTCATGTTGAAATTATTTCAAATTACAAGCCTCCTATAGGTTTTGCTTCAACGCAATGTATGAAGAGACTTGGAATGGATCTTGACATCGGATGTTTCAATGGTGTTCTACTGCCTGTATTTTCACAGAGTTCCGAAACAGCTTTTGTTTTTGTTCAGGTTTTTTATTTCTTCTTTTCCCCCTTCTATCCCAAGTCCTATAGACGTAATGTACATGTATTCACTACAGCACTTTTTGGCATAAAACATTGCCATATCCCTTTGAGACTTCACAGGTTGCACACTATCTCACTGTTACGCGCAGCGCCCCCATGCGACGATTTTCACAATGTATATAATATTGATGCTGACCCTTTTCTCTCCGCGTATTTGCGCCATGTTCGTAGGGAAGGATCGGCAAGTCATTAGATATTATCGGCTCACACTGAAATACCGCCCTCCTCAAAGTCTTATCTTCTATCTTTGATTTCTTTTGAAATCCATCGTATACTGGCTCAATATTGACCACTGTGAGTAAAGCCATTAAAACGCCGCGGACTGCCTTCACGGGGCCCCCACTGGTTCCATAGGAAAGTGCACATGTGACGTCATCAGTACAGAGGCTTATTACTGGTCCGGAACCTCCTGTGGACCAATTGAATTGGTGACTTGGGTTAGGGTCAACCATTCCATGTCCACATAGAGTGCGTTCGATTACTTCCCCCAGCTTACTCGCGCCTGGCTCCTCGCGTGATGACAGACATGCGCAGTGGCGCTAAATAAACGATTTATCAGTTTTAGAGGGGGCAAGGACATTTTGCCCCTTTTTTCTTCTTTTTTGTTTTCGTTTTGTTTTTCGTTTTACTTTTCACAGCAAGCATTTGCTGTGTTTTATTACCGGACTGTCCTATTTTTGGGCGGCCCAACAGGGGAGTTTAGACGCCCCTCCTAACCCCAGTAGGTCCTCCACAGACATTTAAACCGCAACCGCGGTGACCCTGCAAGGGAATGTATTAGAGGATCCTCATCTTCGCTCTTTATTCGTGTTTCGCTCGTACCCGTCCCATATTGAATCTAGAAACAAACTCTGGCAGGCGCAGTTCTAGAGCCATTTTTTTTTTGGGGGGGGGCTTGCAGGATAGATCCAGAAATTGTTTTAGGGAGGCGTGCTGAAATGTAGACCAGTTATTTTTTCCGGACACTTAGGCCTCCGAAAATCATTACGGGGCGGGGAGGGGGGCGGTCCTGCCATATTTTCAATGGCGAGCGCTGATAAAATCCTTCAATCGGGCACACAATATCAACTAAAAGTGTACAAATGCACCCTTCTCACGACTATTTATTGAGGGGGAGACCGTTCGCATGTACGTCACATTCATACATATTGCTAGCGCATTTTTTATGGAATTTTTGGGCTTTTTTTGGGGGGGTTAGACAAATTAGGCTAAAGCCCCCCCCCCCCCCCCCCCCCCGCAGAACCGCCACTGAACTCTCGTACACATTAGCATCCATTCATCACAGTGTTATTTCCTCGTTTTGATATTGTGCATTTGAAGAGATGCGTATAATTATAGTTATCGTGTTAATCATGCATGTACATTGTGTAAACTAAAAAAGACCAAGAACAAAAGGAAGATAACTTAAGCTTGAACAACCCGACGAAATAGAAACTTTAGAGTAAAGTAAACTTTCGGTTTGTTTTGCATTTACATGGTGAGTTGAAGCATTAATAATACTGCAATGCGGAAACGTTGAATTCAAAGCCGCTTATGCACAAGCCTTATTGCGGGACAATGTTCAAGACCACTCTTATACGAATTTAGTTAACTGTGTACGGTCTTTCTAAATCTTTTTAAAATACATTTAAGATTTTATGTTATTCCACTTTATTTTAAAAGCACCCGTGCAGACAAAAATTAAGGGGTAAACAATAACAAATTTATAACAAAATCATGAGCACCAAGAAAATAAAGGCCTGCGCGCGACGCATGTACACTGTTTAAAGGACTCATTACATTCCATATGGTTTTACAATCTGATAATAGTATGCAACATAGAACACGTCGCCTGTATTATATCCCTGATTCTATATCCAAGATTTTGTGAATGTTTATGACTCAAGTTCAACAGCCGTCGCAAGGACCCCGCAAAATAGATCGTCGTGTGCCCGGCAGAAGGGCATAAGTGTGCATATGCCCTTATGCAATGTAGCGTAATGACCAAAATGTTCCCAGCAAAAGGGCATATGCAGAAAACTGCCTCCATTTTAGTGAAATTATAACATTTTCGTCAGAAATTAATACACGTTGTTCCTAAACTTATGATTCATACGTGTGACAAATTTCAAATTCGTACGATTTATATTATGCGTGGGAGAACATTGGATACATAATGCGCGCGAGGGAACAATGGAACCTTTCAATGCAATTTTCTTGAAAATGATTTTTGCGTCAGAACGCACATATGCCCTTCTGCCGGGCACCCGACGAGATACAATTACTGTGCGTTTTCAAAAGTCTCCTTACCTTAAAAGCAATGGTTCATTCCTGTGTTATATATAGCTTCGTTCAATGGCAAAGACCCGCCCCAGTCCCATCCCCATCCTGGCATCCTAGATCCGACGACGATTTCATGTGCATGTATTAAGTATAGAACTTTTGGGATAAGCATCGATATTCAAGGCAAGGTTCTTTGTCGTACTTTCTAAAATTAATTTCTGTTGGTGCCATGTATGTACATTTTTAGCCAAAAGTGAGCAGCGACCTTTACATGTACGTCATCAGTCATGTCATGTCTGTCTTTACACTGTTATTTCGGGTTGTGTACTATATGAACCTAGCAACCAGTTGTGTAAAAAGAAAGTGAACAACTTGTGTAATATTTTACGCAAGTTGTGTAAACAACTGTTTACGCATCTGGTTGCAAGGTTCATATAGTACACAACCGTTTGATTTTTACACAACCGAAATAACAGTGTACCCCGCAGAGTCGTGACCTTTGACGTGAACCTCTAAGTCGCGCGGGGTACTACCGAAGTGGTTAATTAAATGTAGACGGTTTCATGCCCAATCAACTATCACACAAATATCTAGAATTGCATTTTGAAGCAGGTGCAAGGGACTTTACGAACTACGTACTGCAGAAAACGGGTCCGTTTTTTGTGAACCGAGGCCTAGGTTCCTATTCTGTCGGTTACACTGAAAGAAAGGAACCCTTTGTTATAATAGAGCCTCGTGTCAAATACAAACGTATAATCATTTAGGCCAAAAAAAAAGTCTCCGGTTTCTGGTATGGAGAGCTTGCCCAAAAAGTGGTGCGGCGACACGGCTTCTTCTTTTTTTTTACCTGTTTTTTTTTTGCTTCAAATGTCGGCTGATGACTGCAAAAGGTGCCCGACTAAACTTAGTGCAAATATATGGGAGTCTAGAGAGGCCACATAAAGCTTATTCTCGATCATAACCCCATCTAAAAACATGTTAAAACTGTGCAGCAGCAGGATTTCAGTCAAACCAGTGAGTTTGGCGGTTTTGAGACATCATGGCTACGGCGACGCGCGCGCATACCAGAAACCGGAGACTTTTTTGGGGGGCCTTAAGTTAGTAACTTAAGAATTATTTCAACCAGGAAATAACTAAGTGGAGCTACATATTAATTCTACACGAACAACTATGGTGGCCCTGAAGGGACATCGCATATCGCAAACGTGTGCGCATACGTATGCGATGTCGCGAAATTTATCGCGAATGTGTGCGCACACGTATGCGATGTTGCAAAATTTATCGCGAATATGTGCGCACACGTATGCGATGTCGCGAAATTTATCGCGAATATATGCGCACACGTATGCGATGTCGTGAAATTAATCGCGAATATGTGCGCACACGTATGCGATGTCGCAAAATTTATTGCGAATATGTGCGCACACGTATGCGATGTCGCGAAGGTTTATTAGTCAGACCCTATTTATATCTAACAGAACGTCTAGATTCCAGACTAGCTGCTACAACTCCCCAGTTCATTAGGAATTTTACTGAAAGGTATGCGACAAGGTATGCAATAAAATTCACGACATTGCAAACAAATTAGCATACGTGTGCGCACATATTCGCGAATTGTTTCACGACATCGCATACGTGTGCGCACATATTCGCGATAAATTTCGCGACATCGCATACGTGTGCGCACATATTCGCGATAAATTTTGCGACATTGCATACGTGTGCGCACACATTCGCGATAAATTTCGCGACATCGCATACGTATGCGCACACGTTTGCGATATGCGATGTCCCTTTAGGGCCACCATAAACAACCGCTTTGTTGTAAGGGTACATGATAACTGTACAACACGGTACAAAGGTTCCGTAAATAAACTTGAACTCTATACTGCCGTATATGCAGTTACATTGTTTCTTGCACAAGATAGTGAACACGGGTGACAAATAAGGATCGTCGAATTTTCTGGTTTCCTTCTGAAGCACTGATCACAACAATTGTCCATGAGAAAAGGAAACATCCACTTGTAGATGAGGACATGGCGTCATTGTGCCTTTGCCGCCTAAGAGACGTCGTGCTGCCGGCCTTGTTCTTGTGTGCTGTCTTACTCCCCAATAAAGGTAGGATTTTGAGTGAATTTAGTCTTATCTCTCACAATGGCTAACCGGATGTAACATTTTAATATTTCATTATTATCATTAAACCCTAAGAGAACTGTACAACTGCTCAGAATTCTCGCTTGGCCCTAAATTGCGAATGTATTTGTGGGTTTTCGGGAGCGGTTGTAGCTTCTTCAGTTTTTCCGTATAATCATGAATTTGTGAATTATTCAAGTGTTGCGCTCCACTTTAATGCACCAATTAGTTTGTGGTTTATGATGCAACCTATGTAACTTCAAAAATATGCTGGAAATTTTGATATTGAAGTTTATATTTTTGTACTTCACATTAGCCCTGCTGAACAGTTTTAAGGCCAAGTTATACATTTTTTTAAAGAACCATAAAATCGAACATTGTAACTTGATTTTTGCTGCGTCTAGTGTGGAAACTCTATATTTATGAACCATTCTCTTAAAATCTCATCGTTTACCATTTAGGTTGTCATTATCCAGTGGCGTAGGGCCTATCCAGACGGGGGGCAGGGGGCACCTTTCCCCCGGCGGATTTTTTTGAAAGATATTTTTTGAGTAACTATTTCCATAAAAGATTATAGAGTTCTTATAATGAACAAAACAAAAACAAACTCCATTAGAATGTGCTGTGAAAATGGGCATATATTTGCCAGTATGCATAATAATGGTCAGATTCGAAGAGTGTCGCCTTTTGGAAGACGGGTACCAGCCCCCCCCCCCCCCCCCCCCTCTTGCTTTTTGATTTTGGAGGCCAAGTGTCTGGGGAAAAAAACACATGTCTACATTTCGATGCGGAATGGCGAGTGCGGTCCCCCCCCCCCACCCCACACACACACCCACACACATCAAAAGCTGGATACACACTATTGATTCATTATCATGTTTTACAAAATATTTCGATTTGCCGTCATCTATCAAAGCGCGGTCGCTATTAGTTCAGTACATTGTATTATACAAATAATGAATGTTTGTGATTGCAATGGTAAGAATAATTTCGTGAGGTGAAGATGATATGTTCCATTCCATGAGGCGAGGCCGAGTGGAATGGAACATTTTATCTGTTACAATTTATCTGTTCCATTGCACGAACGTGAAACATTCTTTATTTGTTTTATATAACACCTGAATAAATCCTTGTCATCTGATTGGTTGACTTTTAATAGCCAATTTATTCGGGTAAAAAACTGTTGAAAAGTTCGACAAGTTTGTCATATTTAATTTATGCAAACTGTTCCACAGGTTGAGAACAATCATATTCAATTTATCTCGATTTGAAACAGCGCCACCACCACACCAGCGGCAGTGACACTGTGCAATGGAAGTTCTATTCAGCGTGCATTAGACTTCCATTGCACTGTGCGCTGTGCGCCAAATAATTGCGGGACAAATAATTCAATGACATGTGATCAACGATCCACCAATCAGATGACTGGGATTAATGCAGGTGTTGTATAAAATATAAACACATACATTTGACTTTTAAAAAATCACGAACTTGCACCTTGCCGATTACTGCTAAGATCAGCTTTATAGAGTGTACAAGCTGGTTTACCCGATCATAGATCGGGTAGGGCGTAGTGTTGGGGATGAAAATGTGGGGAGTTAAATGTAAATGGGGGATATAGTTGGTGAGACATGCAGTTAAAGAATAGCAATTTCTGTGGTGTGATCTGAGGCAATTTCTGATCACTAAAACCAATTTGAGCGAAAGATCATCTGTGAAAGTTTTAAGTTTTGAGTAATTGAATCAGCTACATGTATTCTGAGCAATAGAATCATTATTGTAGGCTACAATATTTTTATTCGGGGAAGAAAAAGTGTGGGGGGGGGGAGACCAAACAATGTCCCCCCTCAAAATGTGTGTGTGTGTGTGGGGGGGGGGTCCCCTGTCCCCCGTCGATTTACGCACATGATAATTATGTACCATGGCAACTGTCTGTAAATGTTGCCGTTGGTCTGTTAAATTTGCTTTTTGTGAGGCAGTCGCATTTTGAAAACGTAGTGAAAAGGTTACTGTAGTACACAGGCGAAGGCTGGTTGTACAGTTTGACAATAAATCGTAATGCAATAAAACGTGAAGGTGTCATTTAAAATGAAAATGTTGAGTGTTATCAAAAAGTTACAAACGGTCTGAATCATGGAGGAAGGTCATAATTAAGTTTCAGTATTGGACTCTTCAACAAACGTAAGATTGAAATTCTTACAATTTGCGAGACCGTCTGCGATTCAACTTTTATTCAAGTTGGTTCAACCATCTATATATAAGAGCAAGTTTTACTCGGCCTCCGAGAAATGTTTGCTTCTGAAAGGATCCGAGACCGCGGCGATCCTTCGTTGACCCAAAACAGGCCCCCGAAATTATAACACGACACTGAATTATACCATGGAGGAATTCTTATTCTAGTCTGGTTCCCCGACCTGACAATTTCCCCCGACGTCTACACGTCTAAATTGTAGGTCAGGCAGCCTCCGTGGCTAAAAATAAACATGACGACATTGACGGCCCTTTTTCAAAGCTCGGCTTCGTTTCCGAATTCACTTAATCACATAAAGCTTTTAATGTTCCGATCATTTTTTTAAAAATAAGTCACTTGCTTCATATATCATACAGTTACGATATACAGTTTAATACTTCTGTAAGAAAACATTGACTAATTTTGACCTGGAATCTTCAAAGTTAGACACCCAAACAGCACTGTAAGCAGGCGGAGCCAAATTGAGACCACGCCGAGTTTTGAAAAATGCCGGTAACGGTCGTCAAATTCAAACTAGTGCATGACGCAGCAAAAAGTTCGCCCCTCGTATACGATCCGAGTGCAAATTCGTCGTTGAATTTCAAGTTTTCTAAATAAAAGCAATGGATATTAATTATCAACTAGTTTTTTAAAGTTTTTAATAAGCAATTAGCAGTTAATAAAACCTATATTATACTCGGAAATACTCGGACACTATCCGATAGTCGACGAAATGAATTCGGCAAACTTCGGACATTTTCGGAAAAAGGAGGAATTCCTCCCGTTTTAGTCACGTGATGTAAATTGTAATACATTGTATTACCGGAGGCTATCTGACCTAAGATTCATCAGGAATAGTCGGAATCTTTTGGTCTGGGAACCAGACTATTCTTATTCCTCCATGATTATACGTGGCGGGCAGCGAACTCACAACGCTCAGCCTTGGTGGTGGAAGCATGGAGCTGTAAACACATTATGGAAGCAACTACACGTCACATGCTTGCGCTTCAAATAGCGAGCACCGTAGACCCAACCTCGTTTACAGGGTGTGGAGCAGGCTGCAGTACGCGTTGCCATTGACAGTTTTGCATAGCCCGGAAATACTACGCAGTGTAGACTTTCGATTGGTCAGACCGCGCAAGGCATACTTAATGTGTAGTCCTTCTGAGTATTCGTTGCACTCGGCGCAGGGGCGGCAAGCGAAGCATATGAAAGAATAGGAGCACTTGGTGGCCACGCACCATGGAGAAAAAATATTTTACCAAGGTCACCCCATCCACAATTTGGTGAACGCTTTTGCAGAATGCTCGAGTAGAACACGTAAACGCAACCCCTACGTTGACGTCGCTGACCTCGCACAGTCTAGACACGCAGAAAAAGCCAGGACAGGGGGCGGCCACGCAGTCAACGTGAAAGCGCACACGACGGCAAATTCCTGCTCAAAACGCAGTCACGAAAAATCGACTAAACGGATCGCCGGTCCGTACGGGAAAATCAGGACGACCCGAAGCGTCCGACCCGGCGGAAGACACCCTCCGCATTTTTCCACGGACGTGGAGCGATTTTGGCGCCGCGGGAGCCCGCGGTCTCGGATCCTTTCATGAGCAAACATCGTCTCGGAGGCCGAGTTAAACTCTCTCTTATATATATAGATAAACATGTATACATGTAGGGAAAACAAAAAATACAAATAATAGCTCCTATTGTGTTTAATAACAACTTATATACTCTTAAAGAATGATTATTTATCAACACAATGCTGTTTTCTCTATTTCATTCGGACACCTACATTTAGAGATATAGACAGGGGATGATATGTCAATGTGGTCCAATTTGCAGCAAAGTGGATGAAAGGAGATTAACATGACAGCAATCTCTCTGTTGGCCAACTTACCTATTGTTCTTTGCCAATCAATAGTTAATTGGAACCTATGATTCATTGATTATGCAACTCGTTTACATAATCATTGGAGAATAAGTTTAGGCTGTTCCAAATCAATACTCAATCATTCTTGAAGCGTAAATAAAGTTATTATTAAAGAAAATAGGAGCTAGTATTTTTTAAAAATTCTCTAAATGTATATTTAAAAAAATCATACACACTGTAGTTGCAAGTTTGTCTGTTTGCTAGCGTGTTCTCAGAGTGTGGTAAACCCGTTATCACGCGTGCTTATGACACATGATAAGACTTGTTAGACCGGCTGTGTAAGAACCTAGTACATCAACTTCGTCCCCAGGGTGTCAAGCAGAACGCGCCAGCTACTACCTGCTCTCCCAGCCTGGTATTGGATCATTTGCATGTGCAAGATTTTTGAACACGTATGCAAATGAGAATAGTCTGGTGCCTGCCTGTGCGTTGCATTTTTGTTTGTTTTTGTATGCGGCGTCTGGGGTATAAACAGAATCAATTCGTTACAGCGCGAGCATGGCGTGAGTTACGAAAACACGATTTTTGAAATCAAACTGTTACGATCTTAACGAGACAACATGCAGTATCACATTTCATATTAATATGAACAAGTTGAAAAAGAAATGCATATTTTCGAGAAGGCGTGGACGAATAATCGCGAAAATACGTACTGCACGTTGTGAATAACAACACCAAGTGCACCATATAAATCCATTTGTAGCCAATTGCGGTATCGAATCAAGATACATGCAAGAAGAAAGTTTGCTATCCAGTGCTTACTATTGGGAACGAGGCTGGAAACAAAGTAAGCACTGGGGACGAGGTTGCCTATTACATGTATGTGACTGTAACGGGCCAAGCAGGGCGGGGCGTGGGGTCAAGCAGGGCGGGGCGTGGGGTCAAGCAGGGCGGGGCGTGGGGCCACGAACGACCAAAAGAATAACAACCAGCAAGCACTCGGCAGACTTCAGGGGCGCCTCCCGGATTTACTTTTGTTTCAATACACAATAAATCAAATAACTATTTACAGACATTTATAAAGAGCAAATTATTAAAAGCAACTAAATTATAGGTTTGAATGACACTTACAAGTTCTAAGACCCAATACGCGCATCAGTACCTGCAATGTGCACCCGACCAGAAAGGCATCAAAGGAATTAAACAAAATGTATGAAGGGCAAATCCTGGGCTGCACGCGGTGAACCGATACCTGTCTTTGTTACATGACTATACAAAATGAAAGACTGTGATTCAGATTATAGGTTTTTTTTATGTCACACATGAAATTGAAAGTGCAAAACATATTTCCGTAGGCTTTGCGCATAACTCTTTACATGCGGGTCACGAAATGTATCATTGATAACTGGAAATTATCAATGATTTGCCTGGAAAGTTTACTTTACAGTTGAAATAAAATTGGTAGACAACGACTGTTACCACTTGTTCTTTTGCTTATGCTAAGTGGGGGAAACTGAAGTTACCACACAGCCATGGGCGTCGCAAGGGGGAGGCAAGGGGGCACTACCCCCCCCCCCAAACAAAACCAAAAAAAGAGGGGGAAAAAGGAACAAGAGGTGCGGAGCCATATTGATGTTAATTTGATGGGGGGTGGGGGTAGCGCAAATGCTCCCCTGCTCACGCTCGGAAAAATTATGAATAAAGAATATAACGAAAAAGTTAAGGATTTTTTTTGGAAAAAAAAATTTGCCCCCCGGAAAAAATCCTGGTGACTCCCATGCACACAGCCCTATAATTCAAGATTAATTGAAAATTTCATGGAACTAAAATAGCTATTTTGATACATATCATTGTACCCAAGGGCCCCAAGTAAGTGTTAACATTAGCAAATAGGGTTTCCACGTTGTAAACGTTGAAAAGGTTTCCTTTTGTAGTCTCCCCACAAGGCGGACTCGAGACAAAATGATTTGACAATAATCTTCACATTCCTGGGAAAAACAATTAGAGCGATTTGTACGAAAGTAGCAGATACTTGTTTGAAATACACCTGTCATCATTCTAAAGCGAATCTTAAACAAAGCAATACAATTTGTTTTTGATATATTTCGTGTATACAGCCGTCTTGATGCTGTCCCAAGAATGAGAATGAGGCTTTACGAAATCGCCTTCGTGTGGCTATACCAAGCGCGATATGAGACAAAGGGGTACCCCCCCCCCCAAAAAAAAATCTCCCTATACCCTATGTAAACCCTAGACAATTGTTACCTAACACACCACCTATATATATCTCAAAAGAATTCCTGAGATTCTGGTAACACAATAACCAACACAAAGGAGAAGAGTCCCTCCGTCTCATATCGCGCTACATATGTGTGTGGCAGAATTTCAAATGCATTCTTATATGAACTGAAAGTATGGACACTGTTTACTTTAATAATATCCTTTAACACAGGTCTGGCCCTCAATCTGCGGGACAAGCCGACTAATCAGAGTACAACTACTGATCCAGCTGATTCGCTTCCGGAGAATGCAGTAGATGGCAATTTATACACCATTTCATACACAAGTAAACGTTATTTCTTTTAAAAATGGGAATCATGCATTGTTATATACTGGTAATAATGGGCGCCGATCAGGTATTCAGGTGGGGACGGGGGTGTTGACATCCCCACATATACACACGCACCCAGCTCGTTTCTACTATACACATGAGGACCTGCCCCTTTCCTTCTTTTGTTCCCTTTTGTTTGTACTGCAACTTTTTCTCAACAGCTCCCAAGGTTACTACACGTTAAGGTTAGCACACGAAAATCTCCCGAGGACCTGGGTCCTCGAGCCCATTGAAATCGCTCACATCCCATTGTCCCATGTCCTCAGTCTGAATGGATAACCAACCTACACATATATGTTTACGTTACATACCTGGTGTGGACATTTCTCTGTTTCGTGTAGTTAAGAAAAACCTGTGGGAAAAAAATCATTTTACGCACACTGTGAAAAATCTTTCAACTCATTTATTTTTACTATGATACCCTTAAGTGTTCCTCTTCATTTTGCGACAAATAACCCAAAATGCCTCTAAACCTGTTTTCCAGAGAGGGGGAAACACTGTGTGGACGTGGGCAAGTCCACACAACGTCGCTGCTACCTGGATTATGTGGACCTCTTTTGTTCGGAAGTCCACACAGTGAATGTAATGCTTGTTAACTTTATGCGTTGTGACATACAAGGTTGCCTTTCCACCATATATTTTTCATTACTTCTCAGTTCTTAGGATAGAAGCTCTAGTTTTAGATGCGGGATTTTAATATAAAAACTTCAAAATGTGTCAGATAGAATTGTCCATTCCACGAGTCGAAGTGAAATGGAATCCCCCAAATCAAAGGTGATTTGTGAGTCCACGAGGGGACGATACTTACCTGTTAAACCTTACATTTGCATATTTCTCTAGCCTAAGGCTCCCAATCGCTAGCGTTTTATGCCACAGTAAATAGCGCCATCAGCGCCCAGGCCCTCTGTACCCGCATCAGTCTGGTACCCTCGCCTCTTTATCTCTATCGCGAGCACTTAGTAATCCCTGCCAGCTGAGCCCCAAGTGGGGAAAGGAGGGTGGGAGGTAAGTATCAGGTAAGTATCGTCCCCTCATGGACTCACAAATCACCTTTGATTTTGGGGAGTCCACTTCTGGGACTCTCTTACCTGTTAAACCTTACATTTGCATAGATTAGCACCGTCTATAGGAGCAGGGCTAGGGCGAGGCTGCCATAGGTACTACTGTTCTAAGCACTACCATGATTAGATTGGTATGTCCCCTCGTGTCCTCACAAAAATTGATAGGTAGACATTACCAAAGTATGTGGAAAAGAACTCACCTACTACAGGTATATGGAGTTCCAGTCGACTAGGTGTTGGAGGCAGTCAACCTGTCCTGACGGTTGGTATGAGATGCCATGACAGCCGAGCTACTCGTCCCGTTTGACCCTCTGAGCCTAGAACGTCCTTCAGGTAGCACGAGGCGAAGGTTGATGGCGTTTTCCAAGCAGCTGCCTGTAGAATGTTTGGTAGTGGAACGCCTTTCAAAAATGCCCATGATGTCGTTAATGCTCTTGTGTCATGAGCATTGGCAGTGTTCTCTGAATGTGTAGGCCAATCTGGTACAGAAGGGTCAATTGTCCTAACTATCCATCGGGAGATCGTGTCCCGTGATGCCCCTGAATAAGGCTGAGTTGTCGTAATGAACAGCAGGGTGGTCTCACCCCTGAGAGGCTTAGTTCGGGAGCAATACCACTTGAGGGCCCGAACCGGACACCAGCGTTTGTCATCTCGGATTGAGGTTTTATCTCCGGAATAAAAATATCAGATGGTTGGAAAGTTGATGACTGATTCTTTGTCAGGAACATTTTATGAGGAATCAGTCGAACTCCATGTGGTTCCCATCGTACATGACCCTGTTCTATGGTAAGGGCATGCAACTCACTGCGTCTCCTGGCTGTAGCTGCTGCTATCAGGAAAACTGTTTTTAACGTCAAGTTTAGCAGAGAGGCGTTAGCAAGGTGCTCATTTAATTATGACGGCTTCGTCAATGCAGACAGAACTGACCCCAAGTCCCAAGAAGGTATCGTTGTCGCGGAGGGCGACTGACAAACATACCCCGGTGCAGATGTTTTAAGAGGATGCTGTTTGAAACTGGTGATCCGTCAGAAAAACCTGTATGAACTGCCGCTATTGCGGAACGGTAGCCTCGAACTGTGGAAACAGAGAGGCCTTGCGTAAACCGTTCCATGAGGAAATCACTGATTTGTCCTACAGATGCTGTGGATGGATCAACAGACTTATCTCTGCACCATGTATAATAATGTCGTAGTGGGCTGTTATATGACTGTCGTGTTGAGGCCCTACGACTTTGGGCAGCAATGGTGGAAGCATTTGCCGAAAGTCCTGCTGCTCGGATAGACTGCTCGACAATAGCCAACACGTCACGTGAAGTGTCTCTGGCTCTGGCGGTAGGATTTTAGAGCGGGGTTGAGCCAGAAGATCTACTCTCCGAGGCAGTATTATTGTTGTGTGAATCAGAAGATTGACTATCTTCTGAAACCAAGGCTGACGGGGCCAGAATAGAATTTTGCAATGTTCCGACTCTATCTTCCTCAGGACCTTCGGAAGGAGAGCGATTGGTGGAAATGCGTATCCGAACATGTTTGTCCAGCTTATGGAAAGGGCGTCCATTGCCCACGCATGGGGATCGGGACTTCGTGCGCAGTATACCGGCAGATGGTTGTTGGAGGCCGACGCAAACAGATCTATGTGCGGGCGATCGAGCCTTTGGAAAGAATGTGCTGGACTAAAGTTGGATGTAGTGTCAATTCTGTCGGGAGTATTTTCCCTCTGGAGAGAGAATCTGCCATGAAGTTCAGCTTGCCAGCAATGTGAAGTGCCGTCAACGTTATGTCGTTCGTGATGCACCACATTAGGAGATCCCAAGTGTGTAGACAAAGCTGAGGGGACCGTGTGCCTCCTTGACGGTTTATGTAGGAGACAACGGTGGAGTTGTCGGACTTCACTAGCACTGCGTGCCCTTTTATCTTGCGCTGGAAGTGCATCAGTGCTTTTCTGACAGCCAGTAGCTCGAGGACGTTGATATGGAGGATCCTCTTGTCTGGGTTCCAATTCCACGCAACTGATTCTGTGCCGATGCCGAGATGCGCCCCCAGCCGTGGTCGGAAGCATCCGTCATTCAGGTCATTTTCGGTTTGGTTGTTCAAAAGAAAGACAGACCTATGTTGAGGTTGGATGGATTCAGCCACCAACGTAGATGTGGTTGAATATCTTGAACGACTGGTACGAGATGAGTTATTGAATGCAGTTTTGGCCGATAGTGGGCAAGGAGATGGAGCTGAATGGGTCGCAGCCTTAGTCAGCACCACGGAACTATGTCCACCATACTGGCCATGAGCCCCAGAAGACGTAACCATGCTATGGCCGGGGCTATTTTGGCAGGCAGGAAAAGTGTTACTCACTCTATTAGGTTGTGAATTCTTTCCTGTGTAGGCACAGCAACGCCCTGCAGGAGATCCAACTCGGCACCTAAATAGACTGGCCGTTCCAGATGAGACTTTTTCTGATTTATCAGAAAGCCCAACCGGACTGCTAGATCTTGCGTTAGACTGATTGCCCTTAGAGTCTCGTCTCTGGTTGAGCCCACGACGAGCCAATCGTCGAGGTAAACAAAAATCTGAATGTTCCTTTTCCGCAGAATTGATGCAACAGTTTTTGCTATTCTGGTAAACACCTTTGGGGCTGTTGAAAGACCAAACGGAAGGCAACTGAACTCGTAAGTTTTCCCGTCGTACCGAAACCGCAGGAAATGAACATGGTCCTTTGAAATTGGAACGTGTAGGTATGCATCCTGTAAATCTAGTGAGGATGCCCAAGCTGATACCTTTAGAGCATCGAGGACTGTACGCAGCGTCTCTATCCTGAATCTTTTGGGCCGTATATACTTGTTTAAGGGTTTCAGATTCAGTGTGGGACGCCACTCGCCGGGGTTCTTCTTTGGTGTTAGGAAGAATGACGAGTGGAATCCGTGCCTGGTATCTCCCCGTTGAACCAGGTGAATTGCCTGTTATGGAGTAGGGTCTGAATTTCGTTTTCTAGTGCAAGGCGTTTTTGCTTGTCTGTTGGAATAGGAGTTGGATGTGGAGTAAAGCCCGATGGGGTGTGCTTGTAAATTCTAATGCATACCCCTGCCTTACGGTGTCCTGTACCCACTTGTCTTGACAGAAAACGGCTCAAATCCTTGCGAAATGTCTGAGACGGCCTCCTACTGGCCCGGTGTAGTAGGCCGTAGTAGTTGAATAGTCATTTACGCAAGGATCCCCGGCGGTAGCCTCCATAACTTGATTTAGGCCAGGGAGTGTATGAGGGTCGAAAGGTGCGCTCTCGCGACCCGGTGGTGGATGAACTGGATGGATTTAATTTATCCGGATCCTGTGGACTAGGTTTGGATGTGAAGGCACGGCCACGCCCACGAAAGGGCTTCAAAGGCTTACGGGGAAACCGCTGGCTACCAGTACTAGCAGGTTGTTTATTCCCCCTAACAGATGTGGTGCTTGCGCTTGTAGGCTTTCGCAGATTTATTTTGTCTGTAGCCTCCAAACGTTTGGCCTTGGCCCCCATGGCCTCTTGAAACTCCCCATTGAACAAATCTGTTCCCAAAAGGGGAAGTGATTCAAGGCGTGCCCTTGCTCCCTCGGATGGGAGAAAAATGGCATCCAGAACATTGGCACTACGAGCTGTAGTAGCACACATGGACACTCGGACAAACTGGTCGATGCAAATATGGAGACAATCGTCCAAGCAACGAAATGCTGGTTCTGTTGTCTCAGGAGATACCGGAGAGTCTGCTTCACAAGAACAGACAAGAAACTCAGACAAAAGCTGCAGAATACAAGACACTCGCAACCCTGCTCGGGATGCTGTGTCAACTTTTGCAAGAGTGTCCTCCATTTTATTTCTTTCACGGCTGACAAATGGAGATTTACGTGACGTACGGCCAGTAGAATCGGCCGCGATTTTATCTTTGACCTTATCTGACATAGCCGGGACTGAAAGAAATTCCTCAAAATCAGACCGCGGTACCCGAAACGGCCGTGTATCCTTCGTCGCTTACCGCCGCTAATGTCTTGATCCTGAGTCCGGGAGTCAGCCGGGCCCGTACGTTTTTTGTAGGATCGGCGGCCACTTTCATCTGGCGTCGGTTCGTCGGCCGATGATATGTTGAGCACTCTGACTATGTCTTTCATCAATACCCGTAATCTTTGGTCAGAAGCGGAAAGAGGTAACGAAATGGCAGACTCGTCGTTGGACGAGACGACCGTGGAAAAATTTTAGGCATTTCGCCCTCCCCCCGGCACTCGGGCTCAGCGGATTGATCTTTGTGACCCTCAGCTGAAGCCGATTGTTTGTCTACGGCTGCACGGGGACGTGGACGGTTGTCAGAATCCGAAGATAAATTATCGGAGGGAAAAACTGACATCTGATCACCTGACTCATGATCCTTTGAAAGGCTAACAGTAATAGGTTCGTTGACCGAAGTTTGCCCAGTCGGTTTAGGAACAAACGATGTTATCGTGGCCGATAACTGCTGGAAACCCTGAAACAACATATGTTTTATGCTGTTAGATCGAGAGCTCCGGCGACGCGAGCGTCGGGAGCCCGAAGAATAGCTCGAGACGGACTCCACCGAAGAGGAACTGGAGCTATAATAACGGTGCCGGGGTTTCTTGTGATGGCGATGCTTACCCTTCGAAACAGTATCTCTCCGGCTCCGGTGAGTCCCGGGCGACCTGGTTTCCATCCTGGTCGGATCTGTATCCCGGAAATTATCCGGATCATCTCGGTCCAGCGTGATATTTCCGGCACTGGGGGCTAAGGGCGCGGAGGACGTCTGCTCGTCCCCGATTCGGCCCACTTTCTTACCGCACGCTTTGCCGGAAGTCGGGACTAGGGGTCCGGAAGGAGCCACCCTGTTATCCCTCTCCGGGGCACCGGTGCTAGAGGCCCGGAAGGCATAGCTCCGGACCCGGCGGCGTGGTCCGATTTTTTTATTTTTTTTCACCGGGAGTAGGGGCTAGAGGCACGGCAGGTGTAGCCCTATTCCCTGCGCCCGGTGTACCGGAGGCTAGAGGCCCGGAAAGCGTGTTTCCGGTACATGGGTGGCTTGGTCGGTTGCTGTCTGAAGTACGCATGGGGACTGGAGGCCCGGAAGGCGCACCCCCAGCGTGTTTGGTATTCTTACCGGGGGCCAGAGGCCCGGAAAGCGTGTCCCCGGTAAACGACTTAGGTGTTTCCGATTTTTTTCTTGGTCGATCGTTTGCGTTGTGATGACCCGGGAGAATTACTCACTGCCGAGTCCACCGATGGCGACCGTGAATTAAGCCAAGCCGAAACTGCGTCCCATTCGTCTTCTCCCAGAGTATGGCATACCTCGCATGTATGTTCTGGGGTGCATGAACGGCAACGTGGGCATAAATCATGAGCGTCCACACGTGCCCGGAGTTTAATGCAGCGACAAGCGCCGCACATAACAAAATTAGGTGGAGTAATGACGTGCTTAGCCTCGCGTGACTCTGCCATGATTCTACAACGAACCGATGGAACTGGTGATTTTCCAGTAACGAAAACAGCAAAAATATATCCAAGGAGTGGTATTTTTCTTCACAAAAAAATGAAAAGACGACACACACTTTGGGTACAACTAATTTTAATGTTACTTTAATCGATACTTAGCAATATACGGAAGGAAAAGGCAAATTCTTCGGGAGCTTGAGAAAACTACGTCTCACTCGTGTGAGCGCTAGAGAAAAAGAGGACGAGGGTACCAGACTGATGAGGGTACAGAGGGCCTGGGCGCTGAAAGCGCTATTTACTGTGGTATAAAACGCTAGCGATTGGGAGCCTTGGGCGAGAAATATGCAAATGTAAGGCTTAACAGGTAAGAGAGTCCCAGAAGTGGACTTGAATGGTACATTACACATCAGTCATGAATATAAAACATTCATTATTTGTTTTATAAAAAAAAACCTGAATGAATCCAAAAGGGTGACGTCAAAAGTGTGACCGCGCAATGGAACTTCTATTTACCGTGGAATGGATCTTCTATTTTTGCCGTGCGGCCGGGCCGTGGGTTGGGACAAATACTTCAATGACACGTGATCAACGACACACCAATGACGGGGATTAATTCAGGTGTTGCATAACAGATAGTATTTAGGCTATTTCGGAAAGGGGTTATTGTAATTTGTATCAATTGCAATAGAAAATTGCACAAAATAATCATTTATTGTCCTTTATTCCAGCAGAGATGTTGTATTATATAAGCTTCTGAATTTGGTTCTTTTCGTCATTCATCCCTTTTGCTGAGGGCCACATTGTCCGAACACATCAAAACGAATAACCGAAAAATGTCTCACTAAAAACGCCCCGCATAATGAATTTACAGGGGTTACACAATATCTCACATTCGATTAATTTCATAATTACGGATGATTTTGACGTAATGAATTGATGTCCACTGTGATTGTGCAAGCCAACAAATATGGATGTCGTGTACATTTCGAATTTGACGATTGTCTGGGTTTTGCCGTATGGTCATCCACAGTCCCCCACTCGCCGACACAGATTTACGCCATTGGGACGAGGTAATTATGTACTGTGCACGGATATATTATTTGTTATAGATGATGCCCCGAATCAGTGGTGGAGAGTAGATCTTGAAGCTATCTACTGCTTGAAGAAAATTACAATAATCAACAGAGTCGATGGCTATGGTAAGTTTTCTATACATGTCTTCCAAGCCACGCTCGTCGATTGGAAAACAAAATTCTCCATTTTGGCGTTCGCCTTCAGCATTATCCATCCAATTTTTATCGCAGTGTATATACGAACAATCCATTTCCTTTCCAGATATGGGGCTATTTCGATGTGCAGTTCAGTCAGAATTTATGTTAAACATAAAAGTGATGCGTTTTGTCATTAATTCAATTTAACCAAACTAACTCAGGTGTGCATTTACATCCGAGGGTAAATGTTTTTAGTCGGAAATCGGTTGTGCACAATACGAGATTCGAAATAAATTTTTCGAGAAATAAATTTTAAAACGTCTAAAAACACAAAACTGTTGATTAAAGCTTTTTACCAACAAAAAATAAATATTAAAACAAATCTAACTTTATAGAGTCCATTATTGGGGTTCTTGAATAACCAGGAACGTGCAAAGCCCGTGGGTCCAAATAATTCCCATTACTTTACGGCGTTACAAAATGAATTACTTGCAGGTAAAAGATTGGCAGGTGCTGTAGTGCGGGCTGGTTTGGATCCATCAGATTTCTCAGAGAACACACAGATAGGAGATGCAGTCAGAAGTTCTCAGGCAACTAACGGAGCAACGATTGATTTCATCGCGGATCCCATCGTCTCCGCTAGATACGTCAGTGTGCAAAAAACGAATGGTATTCTGAGCCTGGCCGAAGTCATGGTGGTGGAAATCCAAGACACTTCTACTGTTGAAGGTAAGACGAATGCAAATGTTTGCAAGCAAAGACAGAATAATAATGTCTTGACGATTCATCTTATAGTTACGAGGAAAATGACATCGTGGTTCACGATATATTTAATATCTTCAACATTTTGCATAATGAAAATTTGCCGGGGAAATAAAAAATATATAACTTTCAACAACAGATTCCAAACTTCAAATATGATGAAATATTTAGCATTTTTAGCTACTATGAATCTTTAACGGATTACCAAGAGTATCAAATTCCCAAGAGTGTTGCATTTTGGAATATTTTATTGATGGAATATATATTTTTCGTTACATTCCTGTATCGGATTTGAATAATTCATTATGGCATTTTGATGAGAACGTTGAAACGGCTTAAAATAATTGTAAAATACATTAAAGTGCCACAACCTCAAATGTAGTATAGTAAACTAAAGAGGACATTTTATTTGAGTGGTGCGCTTACTATGTGAAACATTGCAAGCAATATCCCTTGATATGTTTTGTCTTCTGAGAAAAATCCTTTAAAGATTTTTGATGAGAATTTTATTTGTCCCACTCGAGCAGACCTAGGCAGCAACGGCAGTATATTTAAACATTTTTTGTATCAATTTAACTCCCCATATATCGGTGTAGATTTTACTCTGGTTGCTAACCCCGCTCGTATTGGCCAGACTGGAGACGACACTGCAGTCATCCAAGCTTACAAGGGTCCTAACTATGCCTCCGCTGGGATAATCTTCGGCAGACAACTGACCACAGGAGGTAGCAATGTCGAATTACCAACAGGATCGATGGTTGTGGATGATCCACAGACGATATGTGCAGTTACACTGTCCAGTACGTTACCTGAATCAGCGGGGATTGACCGAACGGGTGTTTTCTACGCTCAAGCTGTCCAAAATGAAAATGTGACCAGGATACAGACAATCATATTAAACAAAGATGGTAAGCTGATATGACGGCAAGGAAACGTTGCAGTCTGATATCAAGCACTGCCTATTATTTCAAATATACATCCATCTATTGTCTTTGCTCTTCTTCGCTCCCTGGTTTTATTTAGTTGTATTTACAGATTATGGAGCTGGGGAGGTTTTCCTCACAAAAGATTGTAACAGGTGAGTTTTCATGGTCATTACTCATTATTGCAATGTTTTGTGATTTCATTGCAGACGGCACAGTCCATACACGACCTACACAGCGAACACAGATTGCCAATATCGGAGAGTCGGTGGTACTACAGATGGAGAATGTGAATTCATCTGCTAACAGCAACTACAGATGGAAGCATAATGGCGATGACACAGCACGGAACAGCCAGCTAAGTGTGAATATCAGTAACGCTGCTGTAGATGATGGAGGAATATACAGCTGCTTCGTCTCTGGCCAAGAAAGTCAACAACAACATGGATTCATGAGACTTATTGTGAGAGGTATTTCTTTAGCATTTCTGCCTATAACTGCCTCAAAGTATAAGTTTTTGTTTTCTAAATATCATTATTGCGATCATTCTACACATGTATATACAGGTTGTGCCGCAGGAATGTGGGGCCAGGATTCATGTCAGAACACCTGTCGTCGATGCTACAATGGAGGTATCTGTGATGACAAGACGGGAACGTGTATCTGCGCTCCGGGATTCAGCGGAGAATATTGCCAGCAAGGTAACAATAAACATATGATATTGATATTAAGTTTTCTTCTTGTGTAACAAATATTCTGTTTCCGTTTAACCTTTTAATTTTAATTCTGGTGATGTCGTTCTCTGACATTCAGTTCACGGGCGTCACATCTTTGGCCAGAATGCTAGTCATACCTGTTCTGATAGCACTGATCCACACAACGACGCTTGCCGGGGTCGTTTGTTTTGTCTTCCTGATCCTTACGGATGCTCCTGTGCTGCTGGGTATATGGGACTAGACTGTATGCAAGGTATTATGGAATTATCAAAATCTTGTCCACTATTTCGTGTTGGGTACTCGTTGATATTTATATTCAGTCCAAGAATCTGCAGATTGCCAACAAACACTACTTTTTTTTCTAATTTGGCTTTTTCTTCAGTTGATATTGATAATATCAGAGATGTTCTTTCCAATTAGTCTCTGTTGAGCCTTGCTGATTCTTGACGAGTATTGTTTTCTATAGGTCTATTGTTGTTCACTATTTTTTTTAATTTAAGACCAAGGGTTTCCAAATTGCCAACAAATGACATGAAACTCCTATTATTGCATGAAATGACCTTTTTGCTGTGAGCGGATACTTTCCATATCAGAAATGTTCTTGTCCAACGGTCTTGACATAGGGCAAGCACTATCTCATGTCCCAAGTTGCAACCTTGATTCACTCGAGTTTTTTTTTATCAAAATTAGAATGTAGTGAAGGGAAGTATGGAGCCGACTGTAGACAGACATGTCACTGTTCATCTGGCGATTCCTGCGAGAAGGATACGGGAGAATGTACTGGAAGTAAGAGAACGCAGACTTGTATCGCAACAAGCTTGTTGAAGGATTATATTTTACTATGACAATCAGAAGCGACAGTTGAAGTATTCGAATTATTTGTTTTTCAAAGTAAACTTAAGTTGTAAGGACACACTTGGGTAATAGGGAGAAGCCCAAAGAATGTTTACACATTTAAACAAGTGTATAGATACGTTATACCATGGAAAAACTAATATACTAAAATGTACAGTGTATGTCTTTCATTCCAGATTGCATACCACTCTATTTCGGAAGTAACTGCCAGTGTTCTAGTAAGTTGATTACATTTCTTTCATTTACACAAAGTATGATTATGACCCGTTATCTAAACTTAATCAAAACAGACATTATGACATTGCACCCTCTCGAGGAAGGAGATGAGCTTACAGATAAAACAGGGAAAAAAGAGGGAATGAGGCCACAGACTACACTGGATGAACATGTACAATGCTATTTTTTCAGTAACACTGCTTCAACTGTTGTACATTGTATTATCATTTTAACTTTGTCGGATCATTTTATCTGGTCACTGTCATTGCTGCACCCGTCTTTCCATTGTAGCTGACAATGGCGTTCTAGGACTAAAAGTGATGCCAATCGATCGATATCAACTACAAGTTTCCTGGCAACCAGATCCATGTGTCTCTGGCTACATACTGGAGTATGCATTGACAAACAGGGGCCAATGTGAAGAGATTGAATCTCCACAGTGGGTATCACTTCCAGGTCCACTCGATGGTCAAACTACCAGTCATGTCATCACTGGTTTGATATCTAGTTCAACCTATATGGTTTACATTCGCCCTCTGTACAATGGTACGCAAGGACTTGAAGCGTCGACATCAGGAACCACGCTTAGACAAGAGAGTGAGTAGAAAGAGCCACTTTTCTGAAATCAATAACTAAGTGTTACCAGTGTTGGAGTACTCGTACAACTCGATTACCAATAAGTACTTGGCCCGTAGTCGATCATAAGTACTCAAAAAACCAAGAACTCGGCACGAACTCGTAATTTTGTACTCGGACTCGTCCCTTATCTCGACAAATTGTACTCGGTGAACTCGATCCGAGTCGCGCAGTTCTCGAAAGAAAATTCGGATTTTTTCGATACTAATTTTTCGATTCTAAACTTTGACCAAAATTTCACAGAGTGTATATGAAAATGATGAAAGTATTAATTCGTTATCGACTCTAAATCGAGCATATGTGAATGGGTATTGGCAGCGCTCGCAGTATCGCTGGTGCACATTTTTTACTGTCCTATTCCTACTGAATACTACAAGAATACCAGCGAAATAAATCGCAACCTTCTTTCCTTGGGCTGCATGCTTCATCACATTCTAACTAACAAGGCGCGGAAAGATCGTATCCGTGGGGAGGAGGTTGCGCACACCACTCTTTGTTGGAAACGCGAGACATTTTCGAGTTCGATCCAGACGTAGACATGTCTTTTTTGTCAGAAATTATATCTTGGGGGTTTAGAGATCACAAGGAATATTTCGCTAACGGACAGAAGCAGCACGGCGCAGTATGCAAGTCATGTGGGCTGCAGATTTCGGAGAAGTCTGGAACAACTTCCAACTTCAATAAGCACCTTTGACTCTTGTCCTAACCTTCAGAATGAGGAAGATCGTCAATAAATCAAGAATTCCAAGCAAAAACAACACTTTTTAATAACGTGTACTTGTTAATTTCTTGGAATACTGGGTAATTACTTTACATATCACATGTAAGTAACGGTGCTAATTTCCATAATGCTTTAGTTTAAAAATGTACTCGGGATGTACTCGATATCTTTGTACTCGAACTCGGACTCTGAAAAACTCGAACTCTGATTTTTGGCCCAGGACTCAACTAAAAGTGCTCGGACTCGACCCGTACTCGGCACTGTGTGTACTCGGAAAACTTGGTACTCGACTACAACACTGAGTGTTACCAGTTTGATAGTTATCAGCTGTGGGCATTCAATGATGATAATTAGTACAACTTGCGAATAAACGCTCCATGGGTTATATTTGTGTGTGTGTGTGTGTGTCAGATCCTTCCGTTTCCCCTGTGGTGGTGACTTCTTACGATTCTGCCAGAGTCACACTCAGCTGGCGTGAGGTGTACTGTGCCAACTACTTCGTCCAATATGCACTGCAAAACAAAGAGGGTTGCCTACCCATCAACCCGCCTACCTTCATCCAGCACTGTCTTTGTTCTGGAACTACTTCGACAAAGATACCTGGTCTGTTCGCCAACTCGATGTACGAGATACAAATTTTCGCCAAGGTGAATGAAAGCTCCGGAGAAACAGTTACAACAAGTGTTCATACCAGCACCAAAGGTAACACCTTTTTCCAGTTATAAACCTACAATTTTGCGCATACGGATCAGCTCAATTCAATCTGATCCATCTTAAACTATTTTCCTTTAGCGCCATCTGCACCACCACAGCAAGTTACCGTCACTTCAACATCAAAACGTAGCCTGACTTTCTCCTGGAGTCAGCCAGCGTGTGGAAGCCGAGGTGGCATAATCACAGGCTACACGTACAAGCTGAGTGGACCAGGGTCACGACTCATCTTCAATGTATTCACAGCCGAACAAGTTGAGATAAATGGTTTAATCCCCTTCACTAACTACAGTTTTCAAGTTGCTGCAAACACCAGTGCTGGGGCAGGGCCATACAGTGACGTTGTCAATCAGAGAACTAATGAAGCAGGTACGTGCTGTTTGAAAATACCATTACTTAAAACTTTGACCAAAAGTCTGTGTTAATGGCTGCCTTAGCCATCATTTACTAACGCTTGCATATGCCTTCTTAAACTTCACCCTGATTGCTTGATCGTTGGTCACACAGAGCCCACAGTACCCTTAGATGTTGCCATTCAGAACGTTGATTACGTATCCATCACTCTCCAGTGGTCAGAGCCCGACCCTCCACAAGGAATCATCATCCATTACACCGTTAGGTACTGGAGGAGTGGACAGTCAGGAAAACTAACGCTGATCAACAATGTGGTGCAATTAATGTATGAGATAACGGGCCTTGAAACGAATGAGACACACTTCTTGCAGGTAAATACTTTGTCATTTCTAAACAGAATTATCAAAATCTGGAGAGACGTTTGATTTCAAAAGCCCGTATGTCCTGGCAACTTTTTGTGGCATAAATTGTATTTTCTTTTACTGGTGCTGTTTAACATGATGAGTAAATAATTCATAACTTGCATGCAGGCTATTATAAAAAAAAAACGACTGATATTACTGCATGCGAGAACAGGATAAAATCACATTCTTCGCGATTTTTTTATAATGATACTCTTTTATTCAAATGTCATAAGGTGCAAGCTGAAACGTCTGTTGGCGCAGGTCCGTGGAGTGAAAAAGTATTTGCGACCACCCTAATCGAAGGTATGGTAATGCTTCTTGTCGCAATCTTTGATTTTTAGTGTTTTGGTCATTTTATATTTCTCTAGTAATTAAGATATTTTATTTCCTTGAGTTTTGTTCACAAATTGCAAAGTGATGGCGTTCACCGTCAATAGTTTTAAAGTGCAGTCTAGACAGACTGAACGATGAAATGAAACACTTTGATTGCTGAAAGAGTCCATAAATGTAGTATCTATATTTCATGACTAACCTTGTGTTTGTCGATCTTTGTTTCGCAGCAAAGAAATTCGAAGTGCCTTCGCAATTTGCCGTGATAGTACCTGTCGCGGTCGTCGTTGTCATCCTCGCTTTAGGATTTGTCGTTGCTTTTGTAGTCTACAAGAGGTAACCATCAAAAACGAAACTTGATTAGAAATTGTCACAGATCTAAACTAGCTACTAACTGACACCTAACCTGTGTATCATGCTCTATAACAGCAAATCAACAAGCTTGTTATGTTTTGTCACGTATAACTTTGCAACAGTTTCTTCTTTGACAAAAAGAAAAGTTGTCAAGCTTTGATCCTCCTCCAAGAATCCCTTTTCCTCTTTGGAATACTTTAGATAATAATATATTTGATGCAATAAAGATACAGGTGGTTTAGGCTATCAATCCATTCAATCAATTTGTTTTATTTGCCTGTCTTTATTGGTGTTTTATTTCGAAGAAGGAGAGCCAGTCAGGAAAAACAACACAGTGATGAATCTGACATTCCACTGAACGCAAAGGCTCCAACTTTGACTCGCGGTAAACCTTCAATTTTTGAGGAGATTTATTTTCTTCATCCTTGACAGCACAATTGCAAAACCAAAAATAGTCATTTCTGCTCGTCTTAACATGTATTTTTCTCTACGTGCCTTTTGAAAAACATTTATGTTATATCAAGTTTTGGAACAGGATATATAATAGGTGCAACATAATCCAGTATACTCCAGGTTGAGCTACGTTGAAAATGATATCAGTCAACCCGACAAGTACAAATACATATTTTGACTTCATGTAAATATTTCGCATAAAAATAACTAAAGTATTTAAGAATTTGAATGTGGCGTCTCATATCTTATGTTATCGCATTAAGTTTAATAGCTATTTTTTAAATGATCTTCAATCTGCAATCACTTTCCAGTGAGTTATTTTGAAGACATAAGGTGACTCTCAAGAATCACAACGGTAATTCACTCTTTGTTTTACTGATGAAAAATCTTCAGTTAACAGTAATGTCAACGATGGAGCAGCAGTCAACGATACACCCCACCGCCATAAATCCAAGTCCCCTCGTAAACCATGCAAGAAGCAGGCCGGGCCAGAACCACCAGCAGAAGAAGAGGGCAAGGAACAGCTGGAATTCGTACCACCACCTCCCGTCCGGAGGGAAGAGCTTGCTGAATACATCCGCCAGAAGGAGGCGGTGGGTGATAATGGATTCCAGGCAGACTACAAGGTAAATACGCCTTATAAAACCACGCACAACTTGCCTCTTACGAAGTATCCCGATTGAACACTTTTTTCGATCCGATCAAGAGAAAGGAGGCACTCGTCTAGCACTTTATGTCAGCTGAAAGCCATCTGTATAAGACGCAGTGTTTACAATGTAAAGTATCGTGTCTCTATTTTTATCCATTTCCTAAAGTAGTTAGCTTTGTTGTGGTAAATTCACACAATTCGCACACTGGACTAATCATGGAAAACCAACTATAACATTAATAAAATAATGAAACATAATTTGTTTTTGTGTACTTCAGTCGCTTCCCGACGGTCAACTATATCCATGGACAGTGGCAGCGAAACCAGAGAACAGGGCGAAGAACCGATACGTCAATGTCATTGCATGTGTGTATTTCCGTTTATTTTGGTATACATTTGATAGCACTGTTTAAATTAATGCAGCATTGTTCAAATTGTTACAACAATGTTCATTGCAATAAAAGTTTACAGTTTAACCATGCAGTCAATTTGGAGGTTTGTAAAGGTTGCGAAAATAAGTACATTTAAAGTGGCAATTAATGTAAGCTTGTAAGATAAGGATCATCTCCATTTTCCGGATACAATATGATGTAAAAAAAAAAAAAAAAAATATGTCACAGTTTCTTAGAAGCATCGTTTGAAGTGGAGTCATTGTTTTGGTTTTGTTTTGTTCAACTTTGTTCAATGTTTTGTACGCAGATGACCATTCCCGTGTTGTACTTGACCCCTTGGAGGGTGATCCCCATTCAGACTACATCAATGCCTGCTATATCAATGTAAGCCGTTATCTAATGCTGAACTCGTTTGAGCTGAGTTAAACGCCGTTTTCCAGCGTTTTCGAGGTTTTCAGGCTGACGCAGGTTCAAATTCAGACTTAGTCAGACATATTTGTTCAAAAGAAAATTAAATGTCAAATGAAATTATTTCCATCACATGTTCGAACACAAGATATGAATTAGTACATTTGGCTGCAAATATTCTTTGATAAATTGTTATCAAATCAATTATCTTGTGGGATGTGAGTTTGTGCCAAATTAAAATAAATCAATACGTTTTAAATTACCTTTGCTTTGCAGGGATACAAGACGAAGAACAAGTATGTCGCCAGCCAAGGTAAATGCAGTCGCAAATGTGACGTAATTTTGTCTTGTAGATTGGTTTCGGCGTAGATAAAATCGAGTGATGCAACCATCGAATTATCTACCTAATTATGTAATTCCCGTAATGAAATGATAATAAGCTTGCACGTAGTCACAGCTGTTGAAATACCAACAACTGTTATTGACATAGTACACTGTTTTATTACCAAACTGTTTCTTTTCAGAACCACATAAATGAACAAACAGATGTGACTATACACGGTGCTACTGCGATGTATTAACTAACCCATTGTTATTTACTTTGCAGGAGCCAACAAGGCGTCCATCAAGGACATCTGGCGAATGGTCTGGCAGTTGGGCATCGATAAGATTGTCATGCTCACCAATCCGTTTGAGAACGGCAAGGTAGTGTTGATTTTTATTTTTATTTTATTTTGGTGATTTCGTTATTAAAAATTAAAATTATGCTTAATTTTATTAACAAATAGAAAGATATTGGAAAAGGTAATCTCTAGAAAGATTAAAGCAACCCAAAGGCATTAATCTTGGAAACAAAATAACACAAGAACTACGACAAAGCAAGAAACAACACGCTGTATTTCTCTAGTGATTTGATTTCTAAATTCATCTAAACAAAGGTATCCTTTTATCTAACATGGTCAAGCCATTTTATATATTTGTTTCTGTATTCAGAGGAAGTGCCTTCAGTACTGGGCTGATACAGGATCTACCACCATCTCAGGCATCGTGGTAACTACAGACAAAGAGGATGTCTTCCTGGATTACACCATTCGCAATTTCAGCATTCACCAGGTAATCTCCAGACCTATTTGGGTCAGGGAGGCTTGGTTCATTTTTGGATTTATCATAATATTTACTTGATGCCGGCGTGGCACAAAGCGTGATCTAAATTATACTTAAGTGTTGTTTTGGGGGCGGGGAATTTTAATTGGGTTGTTTATTTTGACAAACATAAGCAACAACCATGTCATTATACCAGTAAAGTGACACAGTAATGCATTTCAAAAAAAAATACCAAGACTTAATTTAAAAAGGCTGGATTAATGTTTTAGAAAATCTGAGCGCTGAGTTTGTTGAGAAGCATGAATATTAAATGCAAACTGACTATTCATACAGGTTGGCTGTGAAGAAAGTAACAGACTGGTGAAGCAATTTCACTACACCACCTGGCCCGACATGCAGCCGCCAGAGTACCCAGCACCATTGCTCAACTTCATGCGATTGGTCAACGGACACCATAACCCGGGACGCACATTGGTGCATTGCAGGTAAAGTCGAATGTATCCAATCATATTAATATACATTTAACATATCCCCCCCCCCCCCAAAAAAAAGATATCGCAAAATTAACTCATAGTATCAGGGAGATAAGTCATATTCCGAATTAGCGAATTTGCAATTTAGGAGATATTTAGTATATTGTTAACATACTTCAGCAAAATACCTCAACGCTAAAACGCAGAACAATATTTGGTTACCTGTTTTATCTAAACGTGTATTGGTATTGGTTATAGGCCTTCCTATAATACTTTTGTTCGTCAATATAAATAAACTGTGGATCTCAGCAGATGATTTGATAAACTTATCTATCCAATTGTGGTTTTATCTGATGAAATACGTAAAAACACATTTTTTTGACATTTTTAAATTGATGTTATAATCTAGTGCCGGAGTTGGACGCACTGGTACATTCATCGCCCTAGATGCGATGCAGCAACAAATGGCGCGGGAAGGACAAGTTGATGTTCTTGGCTTCATCTACCAAATGAGACAAAATCGCATCAAGATGGTCCAGACACCGGTGAGTTACCAATATACTTTTGAACTATCAAACAATAACCGAAGTGCATGTAGAAATTAGGAGAAACTGTTGTGATTTGTTTTGGTATACAGCATCGATGGCATGTAGTCTACAGCACCGAAGTTAGAACCTAGACAGAAGATAGAAGTGCTCGTTTCATGAACCAACTTGTTATTGCAGTTTCATCTTGTCATCTAAAACATCGTGCTATTTATTCTGCTAAATACATAAATTGTGAAATGCATCTTTTGTATTCAGGAGCAATACAAGTTCATCTTTGACGCTCTTCTGGCTGCCTCTGTGACAGGAGACACGACCTACAGTGTTGCAGACTTCCGCCAGAAACTGACGGCTCTGAAAAAGAAGGACAAAGGGGCGAAGGAAACAGGCCTTCAGAAGCAGTTCGCGGTAAGCTAGAAGCAATTTTGGATATTATGTTTGAGACAATGGGAGGGCGCCTTCTGGAGTTGATGAACTCTTCTGTACTTAACCAAATGTACCTATTTCAAACACACCTGTGTACAACTTATCTCAAAGAGGCTATTATCATACTGTTTTAACTATATACGTGCACACCTTGATTCCTTATGGTTGATTTCTGTTTTTCAATCAGTAGGCAGGTAGGTCCCTTTGCCTCCTTTTATAATGCAAATCAATAAAGTGAAAATCATAATTTGCCAAGAAATCATTTTCTCACCAAGCATTTTCTTGTTCAATTATATTGGGCTTTTCCAGACTTTGATGCAGCTGAGTGAGAGGCGAGGTAAAGTCAAAAATATGTCAGGACAGCTCCCTGAGAACAATGACAAGAACAGATATCCGGATTTCATACCAAGTGAGTCCAGACAATAATTTGAACGTCTATGCGTTTGTAATATCTTTCTGTATCATAAATGTCGCGACAGGCCAACAATTTGCGATCAAGTGCTGTCGAAATGGCATCGGTTAACGAACCCGTATGACCAACCCTTAATGGCGCAACACCCGATGCTTCTCATCATTTAAATGAATCACTTATTTGGCATTATTACATTTTTTAATGCATCATTGCCACCATCAAAATGACTTATTTGTCACTTTGGGAAGATTTATCCGTATTCTTTGAACTAATTATTTCATCATGATTGATTGCTTTACAGGTGACCGCTCTCGACCATATCTGTTTACCAGTGTCCAAGAAGATGAAACCAACTACATCAACGCAACCTTCTTGCCAGTAAGTATCTGATTATTTCAGTTAGCACCGAGTATCAAAATTATTCACGACTTCCAATTTTCGACTACTACAATTATAGGAATTTGTATTTTGTTTTAGGTTTGGTTTTTTTTCAAGAACCGGTTAAATTACACAGTGGCAAAATAAAACACATTGCAATGTTTCGCGGTGAAGCTCAGAAAAAAGACTTCATCAAATTCAATTGTCGGTAGTTTCAAAGTAGTATTAGTCATGTACAGAAATGACAATATTATGTTTTAACAAAATGAAATTTTTTATACTCAAATTTCTCTTTCCAAAAGGGCTACCGTAAAAAGAGCATGTACATCGGTACGCAGATGCCCATGCCCAACACTGTCACTGATTTCTGGCGCTTGATGTACGACCACAAAGCGACCAGCATTGTGATGCTGAACACCTTTGATGCCAACGACAAGGTATGAAGACAGCTCATGTCAATCTCATTTCCAAAAGTTACGATGGTTTGTTATCATGAAATGGTAATATGGATTATACGACTAAATATTCCCTTGCATGATCGACTGATATTTAACGATATTTCAGTACGCAGACGGCCTATTAGGGAGACACTTTTTTGCATATAAGGAGACATAAAGGTATATTAGGGTGATATCCAAGTACAAATTTTTAATGTCGGATATATAGCCTAAATCGAGTCCTCAGTATGCAAAACCCACATTTATTTAGTTTAGGTTAGGGTTTAGTGTCATGACATTTCAGAATTATTTCTGCACACGTTTAGCAATGTCTCCCAATTAAATTATAATATTTACTCACTTACCAATTCGCTGGTACGTGATACTTCAGGAGGGTTTTGTATACTTTGGGTGCATATCTGTCTTAGGCGATGCAGAAGATTCGTGTGCTCTTGAATGAAATCTCCCTGTACATTTTGATAAATATTCTCATTTTAGAAATCGAAGACAGGGCTGTTTTCTTTAATTTAGAAACTATTAGGTGATACGTTGGTTTATCAAGTCATAACCTATTTTCAGAAAAGGCTTTTAAAAAACGCCTGAAGATTTAAATGACTCGTTTGTCTTCTGATTATAGACCATGTGTCGCTACTGGCCGGAGGAGGGAACCATTAACTTTGGCAAACTGTCTGTCGAACTCATCCAGACCAAGCGATCCGACAGTGTGACACGATGCACCTTCACGCTAAGGAACACCGATAACGCGGTATATTACACAAAACTTTTATCTGCATACATGATCATTTGCATTTATCCCAAAAGTAACATACCGAATTATGATCAAAAGCTTCCTTGGATATGGAAGATCGTATATTGTACTTAAAACACATCGTGAAATTATTCCGTCTGGCTCTAGTGCAAAGGCAGATTCCCTTTCCCATCCAGCCCTTGAAAAACGCCTGTTCATAAAATGTGGTGATGTAAGGAGGCTAATAAATTGCACTTAGTGGGCAAATTGTTGGTGCTCAGCAAATTTCACGCTGTAATGTGATGCCCTAGTTGCAAAATTCAACATTGTTTTTGATAAATACGTTACCTCAGTCCAGATGCCAATTACATGGATTTGCTTAGCAACAAATATAGCAAAGTAACTTGCCGAGCAAGAATCACCAGAGAAAATTATCACACGCAGAACACATCGCCTGGCCTTTTGGTGGATATTTAGGTTTTACTAGTCAAAGCCTTTCTGCAGCTAATTCTTGTGCACATAACAAAACTGTGTGTTCATCTTTTTTTTCAGTCGGAGGAAGCACGCACCATCACCCAGTTCCAATACCACGACTGGCCCTCCGACCAGGAGATACCGAATTTCGTGCCAGGAATGCTCAGCCTCATGGATCTCGCTCGAAAGTGGAACGGAGACAAAGGACCTATTGTTGTCCACTGCATGTAAGTCGAATGGGGAATTCTAGATGTGTGAAGAGTATTGTTAAAAAGTATTACATTATGTCTGGGTCGCTGGGTCCGGGTTCGACTTGGCCAGTTCTACATTAATTGATTTTAATCTGTTTCTGTTATGTACCAACCCAGAAGAATTTTGCCAACAAAGCCTATCCGGGTATTTTTAGTTCAACCTACTGGCTTAAGACTTAGATAGAAGCCAAGCATTCGATATCCCTCGCGGAATTTGGCAACTGTAACGAAAAAAAAAATTAAAGAACGTCTGAATAGTGAGAAAAAGGTGAAATACAAAGTTTGTAGATATGAAGATATTTTAATATTGAATGTTATTGAAGAGGACTTTTGTCTTCAGTACTTGCTTGAATATGTACAACCAATTAACTCCGAGGTGCATGTCGCCGTAAGTAAATCTTATGTTTCCCTTTTAGTGTTTCTTTTAAGAAAATTCCAACCTTGAGTTTTATATTCTGTCTAAAATTTATACCTTTTGATAGTATTTTTCTTGAATTATTTCAGATTCTTGTTAAGAGATTATTCCGATTCAAGTTTTCAAGTTATCTGATTCAAGAGTTATTTGACATCTTTAGAATGTTAACAGTTACTCAAGATGACCATCATATAATGAAAATGTATGTATTGGTTGTTGTTATGAATTCAATCTGATTGAGTTTTTTTATTTTCATATTTTCTTTTTGCTTTTGTAGGGATGGTCTGGGTAGTACTTCTGTGTACTGCACGTTGATGGCGCTGTTGGACCAGTTCAATGTCGAGAAAGCCGTGGACGTGTTCCAAGCAGCTCATCGTCTGCGCATGGTAAACCAAAACATGATGAACTCGCTGGTAAGTATTGTGTCGTGCTCACACTCTCTCTCTCCAAGGAAGTTACTCTTGATTTACTTTTATTTATGATGTCATACCCACCATCTTACATCATACTTTTAAACATTTATCTGGCAGATGTAAGACATTTCTTTTGCAGATATAGAGGTACAATTGTTAGCTGTACACAAAGTTGTTGGGTATCATTAACTATTTCGACATATTTTTCTTTGAAAAAAGGCAGAACACTGCGTTTTTCCTCACTATGTAGTTGTAGTAGACGGCCATTGTGGTACTCGTATCGGGCCTACTCTAGCATTTAATATTCTTCACTTTTACACTTCTCTCATTTGCACACCTAATATTTCTCGCGGCCTTGGACGGTGGATAGCATTAAGTAGTTGCCTGTTGAGGCTTTCTGCAGTTGACCATGTTGCCGGTTTTTATTGAAGCAGCCTGTGTAACTAGCTTGACCGCGTTGCCCATTCCGCGTTATACATTAACGTATACAAGTTTAAGATCTGTACATATTCCCCTATGGTAGAGAATCTCTTACCGTATTTGAAGCTGTCAGCATCACATTTTGTCGTCCGTTGCTGTGTACAAACGTTCAGAAAAAGACGAAACTGACACGTCAAAAACTGACAATAGTACATAAGACGAAATGAGAGATAGGCACGTGAAGCCGTTAACGACCTCCTTTGTTATGGTGGGCTACATGGGCATGCGTGAAATTCGGGAAAATTGTACGATCTAATCACGTCGCGTTTTCGATGATCACAGCATGTTCTCTCGCATCCCCCGCCCTGCAAACAGGACGCTGGGAAGAGCTAATCTCGTTGAGCTCTCATTGGATAGATTTCGAGTGAACATTTTGTCCCAACGACTAAAACTAGGACCAGAAAATTTAGGGTGAATTTCAATTGAGTGTATTAAATTTAATTGAGTCCCTTTTTTTCAGCGTACTTAATCATTAAATAGGGTGATTTTTACTCTAAATCGACTAGTCCTTAGTTTCGCTCTCATTCAGAGAGCAGCTGATGAATGTTACCATTTGTTCGTCTTACCAGGACCAATACGCACTGTGTTACGATGTGATTCAGGCCATGCTGGATTCCACTAGCATCTACGAGAACGTCACACCCTCAGCTGGACTGGACTCTACCGCGTAAGGTAGAACGCCAATGATATCACATTTTTGAAATGTGACTTGTCTCAGTTAGGGCCTACACAAAAATGACCATAGTGTACCCACAGAAACTTTAGATAAATTGGGAGATCGTCAGCATTAGGTCTGCATAGCTCAGTCAATACAGCGTTAGCATCTTATTCTAGAGACCACCGGTTCAAAATCCCCTTGGATTCTCCAAAGATGGTGTATCAAATCTGGTGAAATGGAAGATTTTTAAAAAGTACAGTGTTTATCTCTCCAAAATGTACTGTTCTCGATTTTCAAAAAGGAAATCACCCACAGAAACATTAGAAACCAGATTGAGCTATTTGGTTGTCAATTCCCCTTCCATGACTGAGAGTACATTTTGTATGTAACTAAGTGTAACCCGTTTTAGCATGTAATATTTTACCCAGAGCTATATATTTTTGTTTTCTCTGTTGCAACACAAGCTATAATTTTTGCTAATGCAAATTGTTAAAGCTATATTCTTGATACAAGTATTAAACAGTTTATTTTGGGATAATTAACGTTATACAGGTTGTTTTGAGGGTCTCTATTTTTGTAACTATTTGATCACGTATTTGGATATAATATTATACGCTGTCATCATATATTTTGTATAAAAATGCTTGGCTGAAATATTGCATTGTCGAAAATGAGGCTGATAGACTTTTGTATTGCAACTTTTATATGCATCTTGAAAGTTTGATATGTATATTTTTCGCTGAATTCGATATCTTCTCATATTAAAATTTATGTAACAATTTGTATATAAGGGGATGAGGCTTTTTAATTTAAATCCATAATATTTCGCAACGTAAGCCAAAAAAAACATAAGTATAAAAGTATAGAAGTATAAAAAAAAAGTGTGTGATCAGACTTTTTAGGACGATTTAGGATTTATATTTAACGACTTTTTTGTCTAAATGATGGGAATAGATTGTCAGAAACTGACACCCTTGTAAAAAAAAATCACGAGAAAATGTAGAAAAGGTCGCCTTTTGAGGATATTTGTTTTCATTTGTTGTTTTTTTCCATCGATGCTTGTGCACCAAAGGCGAAACTGCTTAACAGACACGAAACGGACTACAAAAAAATGCATTAATGGAAGGGCAGCTTAGCTTTTATTAAAATAAACAAACTTGCGAAGTAGAATATTGAGCTATTTACCCAGGGTAACACCAAAAAGGCACCTAATCATCTTCGCTCGATTTCACGACTTATCTGGTTTCAGAATGTTATATGTAGTATTTACACAAACCTATCCGCAACACTTCGCGTTTTCTGTACAGAAAGATGTACGTCGCCCAAGCCTTATAAAGGGTGGGGCATTGGTGCATTGGCGAATATGGAGTAGGCTATAAACCTTTTGCGTAGCAGCCATCTTAGAGGGCAATGACTTTGTTTTGCTGGGATATGTTTGAGTGAATTGTATGTCATTGTGTACTCATTGTTACTGAATTAAAATGAAAAAAATAGCATCTAAAATGTCCGCTATGCATAAGGTCTATTAGTTACAAACGAACAAGATATATGTCATCAGGGTTGTATTAGTGATAATTTTAATACCTAAAACATATACCACAGTATTTTACTACCCACAGCTACTTTAAAACTAAAAATAATTTACGCGAGACAGGTTTTTTTCTGCATTTTAGTTATCTAGTCTGATATTCCCATGCTCTCAAAATAAACATGTGTATTTCAGAATATTATACATGTAATGTTATTTCAGAATAAACGAAATCCTTTTTTGAAAAAAATTAAAGGGAAATTAGTATGCCATGCATGAAAACTGACACCGATGTAGTCTCGTTTTTAGCAATATAAAAATTGGAAATAATTCCCCAACCCACCAATTTTGCCCAACTTTGAACAAAGTTGGCTATTCATCAGAACTTGTTTTAACAGCTTTCATTTTGAATGAAACTGTTCTTTTGGGCATGGAATATACATTATTGATTCAATTCATAATTGGTGCTTCAAGCAGGTGAATGATCTTCACTAATTATGAGATAATTCCTCCGCAGACTTGAAGAACTGTAGTTGTCTTTTTCAGCCTGGCTGTGTGACAGAACACGGCCTTTTTCAGCCTGGCTGTGTGACAGAACACGGCCAGGCTGAATTGTAACTTACTTAAAGATCAATACCCCGTCCTCTTAAAAAAGTTGATGTAATTTCTCTCCTAACAAATTTTCAATTGGCATTTTTTTTTATAACTCTCTCATACAGTAACTCTCTGAAATAGGGATTTCATTTTTGTCCACAAGTGACCCACACTGTTGCGAGAGCCGAATTATTGTCTAGCAACCAAAACTTGAACTTTGTGAAGAAATTAACTTTTTTGTTCCGCGTCTCATTCAAAGGTAAATAACTTCTATATTGCTATAGGAAAACACTTATTGAAAACAAATTCTATTTTTTCGAAGTGAAATTAAACTTGAAATAGCACAGGGAATGCTTAACTAATACTTATTGCTTGTCTGAGATAATTTCCAGTACTGTTTGCAGTCAACTGTTTTTAATGACCGAGTGCTACTTGGTGTTTTTGTACACAATAGATCTCGTGCGTTAAGGCAGAGGGCAACGGTTTCGTATCGCCTGGAAAGGCGTGAGTAAACCAGTTGAGCATTTATTGTTCCTAAAATACATGTATAATAAGAATGAGCACTCTCTGAGAAACATCCAACGGTTAAGGTATATCGGGACAGGCCTGCTTCAAAGAGCATTGTAAACAAAATCACGACCCATGTAGTGGTAAGATATGATTGAATTAATAATGAAGAGCAATAAAATGCTGGCAAAATTACAGGAATTTGTTGTTCAGACTTTTTGTCGTTGACTTTTTGGCTTTTTTTATTAATACATGTATATCTCACTGTGATATTTCTGTTTAGCACTGAATCGAATGCATAACACAATGTCATGATGTTGAATGCCCGACCCCTCGTAATCTGAATAGTCTTATAAAGCTATAACTATCGTTGTACTCCATCCAACCATGGTAGATGTGACTGTTATTTTATCATAGCGCCCTCTATAAGTTTGATAGCGTCATGCATAATCAACACAGGCACACAAAGAACACTTGACAAATAAAAAGGCCGCTTTGTAGCTGATAATTTTCCAAATCTCCAACGAGATCCCCCTCCCCCTCCCTCACAAAATGACAAAATGAAAGTAAAGGGATGAATTATGAATTTGCTGCAATATTTTCAATTTGTTTTGGCAAGCTGCAATTTTTTTAATAAAAAAATGTCTTGAGGACTGTAAAAATTACACTAATTCTCAGGATTTTCCCCACGAAAATTATGTCCTTTTAGCGTCCCCCAATCGCCAATATAGGAGAAATAAACATCTGCCACCTCCCCCTCCCAGGTCCAGTCTAACCCTGCCACCAAAACAAAAAGAATAAATCAACTTTACTTAGTCAATCCAATATCTATCTCCCTGTACATTGTATTATCAATCAAGACTTCAATTTAGCAAATTTCTTTCCGCTTTATTATTGCTCAAATCAATTAAAACATCCATCACAGTCATGTTGAAATTATTTCAAATTACAAGCCTCCTATAGGTTTTGCTTCTACGCAATGTATGAAGAGACTTGGAATGGATCTTGACATCGGATGTTTAATTGGTGTTCTACTGCATGTATTTTTACAGAGTTCTGAAACAGCGTTTGTTTTTGTTCAGGTTTTTTATTTCTTCTTTTCCCCCTTCTGTCCCAAGTCATATAGACGTAATGTACATGTTGTATTCACTACAGCACCTTCTGGCATAAAACATTGCTATATCCCTTTGAGACTTCACAGGTTGCACACTATCTCACTGTTGCACACTATCTCACGCGCAGCGCCCCCATGCGACGATTTTCACAATTTATATAATATTGATGCTGGCCCTTTTCTCTCCGCGTATTTGCGCCATGTTCGTAGGGAAGGAACGTCAAGTCATTAGATATTATCGGCTCACACTGAAATACCGCCCTCCTCAAAATCTTATCTTCTATCTTTTTTTTTTTTAAATCCATCGTATACTGGCTCAATATTGACCACTGTGAGTAAAGCCATTAAAACGCTGCGAACTGCCTTCACGGGGCTTCCACTGGTTCCATAGGAAAGTGCACATGTGACGTCATCAGTACAGAGGCTTATTACTGGTCCGGAACCTCCTGTGGACCAATTGAATTGGTGACTTGGGTTAGGGTCAACCATTCCATGTCCACATAGAGTGCGTTCGATTACTTTCCCCAGCTTACTCGCGCCTGGCTCCTCGCGTGATGACAGACATGCCCAGTGGCGCTAAATAAACGAACGGTTTTGGGTAAAGTTTCGTGCAAGACCTGGAAACATGGGCGTCGCCAGGATTTGTTCTAGAGGGGGGGAAACATATTTTCCTGCATTTCTCAACATATTCTCGATTTATCAGTTTTAGAGGGGGGCAGGGACATTTTGCCCCTTTTTTTCTTCTTTTTTTGTTTTCTTTTTGTTTTTCGTTTACTTTTTCGGGAGGGGGGGGGCTGGGCCACCGTTGCCCCCCTTGCCAACACCCATGGCCGGAAAGTTGAATTTTGACATAACACAGGCTGCATCCGAATCAGTAAACTGTCTAGAGCACGTCCACGCCCAGTAAAAATACGCGGGGACGTACGCGCTGACAGTTTTTCGTAGAGGTAGCTCCGTGCATAGAGCTACATGGGTTTTGTAGCTCTGTGCACCGTGGAAGGGTGGGCTATCCGTGGAAGGGTATCCGGTTCGTTAGTTAGGCCAAAAAAAAAATGTTTCCCGTTTCTGGTATGCGCGCGTGTCGCCGTAGCCATGCGCGTCGGCAAAATGAAATTTTCAATAAAAGATGATGTCTCAAAACCGCCAAACTCACTGGTTTGACTGGAATCCTGCTGCTGCAGCTGCTGCTGCACAATTTTAACGGTTTTTTTGAAGGGGTTATGATCGAGAATAAGCTGTATGTGGCCTCTCTGGACTCCCATATATTTGAACTGAGTTTAGTCGGGCACCATTTGCAGTCAGGAGCCGACATTTGAAGCATAAAAAAAACAGGTAAAAAAAAAAAGCCGCGTCGCCGCACCACTTTTTGGGCAAGCTCCATACCAGAAACCGGATACTTTTTTGGCCTAAAAGCGTCATACACGCACGCGCACCACTGATAACTAGCGCCCATTGGATAAACGCTCGAGGTGCGTTAGCTTCCGGTTCCGTTCGTGCTATGCTACGCATGATTGAATTGAAATGACGTCACACTAACATGCAGGGGCGGATCCGAGTTTGGATCAAGGGGGGGTAGCTGCCAAATGGGGGTTTGGCAAGCATTTGCTGTGTTTTATTACCGGATAGTCCAATTTTTGGGCGGCCCAAGAGGGG